ATAGAAACCTGTGGATCAGAACAGGGCAGAACATGGAGCTGTTAGGGCTTTTATGATTGATAAAGAAGAAAAAATAGAGCAGACTGAATGATTTACCATCCGTCTCCTTTATATAACTGGATGTCACCACCTCCTTTGCATAGCTGAATACAATTATCCTACAACAGTCCAAGTGTAAGATTCGACATAAGGAAATATTTCTCCATTTTCCAAAAAACTACACTGGAAAAAGTGTAGCACAGAGTTGTTCATTCAAGCTAATAACTACCATTGAATACAATGTAAAATAATTGACTTGGTTGTGAAATTCTATTTTTTTGCATTCTGAGGTGTCAATTTTGATTCAGACTGAATTAATAACAATTCTGAAGGGAAGAAAGCAAATATTTTGGTTCCTCTCAAAACGTTATTGAGTCACGTGACTCAATCTGAGTCACGTGAGAAGAAGTTGGGGAGAAGTGCTTGGAGAGCTTCGTCCATTTTGGCTTGGGGAAGAAGGAATGATTAACGTCCTAGCACGTCATCAAAGAATAAACCTGCGGTAAGTACTAAACTAAGCTGATGTAAACGTGTCTTAACAAGCCTACAATTTTATTAATGCGGTTAGCTTGGCTACACGGTGAACTTTACTAGCTTAACCCATGTAAAGCCATGTTAGCAATTAGTTAGTCTAGTGCAGGGGTCGGCAACCCGCGGCTCTGGAGCCGCGTGCGGCTCTTTCATTCTTATACTGCGGCTCTGAGTGGCTTGGGAAAATAAATTACTAAAAAAAAACTAAGTATTTAATTTAAGTCAGTGTTTCCCGCAGCACTATCTCGCCAACGTTCCAAAAGAAAAAAAAAAAAAAAAACCCAAACCCCCGAAGTTTTAATTCATTGCCAGGCCCAGACATTAAAACAGAATCGGTCTCCGCCAGTCACGTGACATGTGTTGCTAAGACGCCATTTTAGGTGGAAAAGGCGTAGTGTACCGCGCCTGAGTTAAACAGATGAGTAATTTTCTTTGATCATCCGAGGAGACGTGTGGGGTGGGGGTGGGGGGGTGACGTGACGTCTTCGTCGTCATCATCATCGGTGAACTATATCTGAAAAGGTAAGTAGTTAATTAAAACTGATAATAGAAAATTAATATCTGCCTCGTGTGCTCTGATAAATTAAGATAGGATTTAGTTTTATGTATTTAATTTGACCCCCCCCACCCCGCTCGACAGTTATCCACTCAAAACTGGTTCCGGCCGACACCTCACCGCCTCGCCTAAGCTAATTCCTGCGTGAAACACTAAGATCATTTTATTTTTGTTAGTTCTTTAATATTTTTGTCATAAATTGGAAGATTATTGTGATCTTGACATACTAGAATTAATATGTTATTGTTTTTTCGTCGCTCAAAATACACATCATACTCGCATTTGAAAGAGACATTCAGACATTGTGTTATTTTTTCAAGAATTCAAAATGTGCTCATTAGATAAAATTTTATTTTCTCTGTAGCACTTTGTTGATTTCTACCGAAGAGGATTAGGGCCACTGGAAAAAAAAAAAAAAGTTAACTGATTTTTTTTTATTTTATTTCAGTATAGTATGGGACTTTAATGTCAGAATTCTGACTTTTTTCTCAGAATTCGGACTTTTTTCTCAGAATTCTGACTTTTTTCTCAGAATTCTGACTTTTTTACCATGTTAAACTGAAATAAAATTTAAAAATCAGTTTACTTTTTTTTTTGTTTCAGTGGCCCTAATCCTCTTCCGTAGATTTCATAAGCAACCCACTTTTGTTGTTTATACAAAGTATAAAGGTAAGAAAAAACAATATAAACATTGTTATCTTCATTTAAGATAAGATGATAGCCCATCTTCAAAAGGGTAGTCAAAGCACAAATAAGTGTACTGTACGGCTGGGGTGAACCACGAAGCATGAAAGGGAAGTTGTTGTTTTCTTTAAATATTTTTTCTTTCTATTTAATAAATGCATTCATAAATAAATTCATTTTAGATGTCAAAAAGTATTTGCGGCTCCCAGTGTTTTCTTTTCCGTTTAAACCACATCAAATGGCTCTTTCTGTGTTAAAGGTTGCTGACTCCTGGTCTAGTGTGTTTATACCACTATGATTGTAAAGTCCCAGTTTGTTAATGGTAGCGAGGCCTGTTGAAAATTAATGGTGTTTTGTGCATGCATCACACTTGTATGGTATGGTCGGTGATGTTTCCCAGTGTTCGCCATGCTGGTTTGTCCAACTGTTAAAACAGTTTCACAGGATATGCTCTCGGTAAGCGAATCTCCTTGTTAAGCCTTAAACTTTTTGTTCGGCTCTACAACTGGTTTTCATGCATTTTGTTCGCGACACTGCCCCATTTACTATAGGTTAAGAACTTCATTTTCAGAATGCATTGTGTTTTCAGAGATATGTACAGTACAAGTACAGTGTTGCATTTGCCTGCAGTCATTTTTACATTAGGGTGGCTCGGATTGTAAGAGCGCAGTAGTAGCTATAAGGATGTTGAATGAATGAATTTCTGTGTATATCTTAGTTCATACAAAACATGCAGCTCAATGTTCTTTACTACCGCTACACTCAACATTGTATTTAGATATATAGATTACCAGACTGTCATTAAAACAAAACAAACTAAGATTTCTGTTCATTGCATTTTCTAAATATTTACTGCTCTGCTTTCCTTTTTTTAGGTTGGATGTGGAAATGCAAAGAATGCAGCAAGCATTTTTCAAGAAGATCTGAGATACTGAAACACTTGAGAATTGACCATCGGTTTCACGGTAGGCGGCGTCCCTATCCATGCATCCACGCACAATGTCCCTGTTCGTCCAAGACATGGAATGGTCTTCAGAAACATCTCTCTAGAAATCATCCTTCTCTGGAGTCCCAACAAAGACACTCTTCTTTCAAGTGTTACATTGAGTAGTCCCATGTATGTTTGATGGTTGCTCATACAAAACCAACATATACAGCAGTTTCCGAGCCATAAATGGAGAAAACATCAGTCATGCACCATTAATGACTTTAAAAGAGGAATAGTTGTCACGTCACTCATTTCCAATCCATCTGACTATGACTTGAATGAAGAAATAGAGCTAACCACTGAAGAGTCAAGAGATTTGGAAAAGGAAGTTGAACTGAAATTAGCTTAACTTTTACTTAAATTAGAACATACATATTTAGTCTCGGCTACAGCTGTAAATGAATTGCTTGAGGAGCTAGAACATCTCATTGGAGATGTCTCTGTGGCGGGTAGTATAGCAGCAATTAACCAGCATTTGGAAGATAATAATTGTCATGTGGAAGCATCTGTTGTTCAACAATTGGCCACTTTTCTTTGTTCTTCACACCCAATTCATAAAGCAATAGGGAAACAAGGGCCATTGTCTACTAGTTGGAAGCGCAAGTCATATTATAAAAGAGAATTCTGCGTAGTGTCTCCCTTGGAATACATTCTTGATAAAAGAAACCAAAAATCATTGCAGTATGTATCTGTGCTGAAAACATTGCAGCAAATTCTAAATTCTGATGTAATTCTGGCAAAAACTGTGCATTTGAGAGAGAGATATCAGTCACCAGAGAGCGATCAAACAGTATATAGTTGTCCCTTTGATGGTGATTTTTTCAGAAACAACACACTTCTGTCTGCAGACTGTGCCATTTCACTAAATCTTTATGTAGACGAGTTTGAAATCTGCAACCCAATTGGGACATCACGGAGAAAACATAAAATCTGTGCCTTCTATTGGACTTTAGGCAATCTGATCCCTGGTTGTCAGTCTTCACTGTCATCAATTTACTTGGCTCTTCTAGTCAAAAGTGATGATTTGAAAGTGTATGGCTATGAGACTGTACTTGAGCCACTCATAAGTGATTTAATTTCATTAGAAGAGCACGGTGTCTTTTTGCAGAAGTTAGGGAAATGTGTTAGGGGAACGATCCAGTGTGTGAAAGCCGATAACCTTGGAGCACATGGTATCGCTGGGTTTGTTGAAAGCTTTTCAAGTGGTCACCTGTGTCGATTTTGTAAAGCATCTAGATCAGAAATTCAAACTAAAACTGTAGATAGTGGAGCGTTTACATTAAGAACAGAACAGATTCACTCAGAACACCTTAAAATCCTTGAACAAGATTCTCTAAGTAATTTCTGTGGTGTCAAGAAGAGATGTGTCCTCTCTGAGAAACTCAGTCATTTCAAAGTTACCACGGGTTTCCCCCCAGATTTGGTCCATGATTTATTTGAAGGAATCGTACCGGCAGAGATTGCGCTTTGTCTTTCTGTTTTAACATCCAAGAAGTACTTTACTCTTGCATATTTAAATTAGTCTATACTAGCTTTCCCCTTTAAGTGGACAGACAAAGTTAATTGTCCCCATCCAGTGCCATTGAACTTTGCATCTCGAAAGACAATAGGAGGCAATTCTCACGAAAACTGGAGTCTCTTAAGGTTTTTCCCATTCCTTGTCGGTCAAAAGGTACCTATGGATGAACCAGCATGGAAAATATTGGGTGACTTAAAAGATCTAGTTGAGCTTATTGTCTCACCTGTCCATACAGAGGAATCAATCGCATATTTGAATTTCAAGATATCAGAGCACAGAGTTCGACTTCAAGAGGTTTTCCCAGACTACCGTCTACTGCCTAAGCATCATCTTTTGGAACATTATCCTCAGCTAATTCGTAAATTTGGACCATTAGTCTGTCTTTGGACTTTGAGATGTGTAGCCAAGCACAGTTTTTTTAAAAGAGTTGTTCGTTACTCAAGATCTTTCAAGAATGTTTTCCTGTCTTTGGTGGAGCGACACCAATTTCATATGGCACAGCAGATATTTATGTACCCTCAAAGACCTCTTCTGGAAGTGTCAACTGTCTCAACTCTTTCTGTTGATGTGTTAAAAGAGCATATTGCACAAGCTATACGGCTCAAGCACCCAGCAATGGATAATGTGTGCCTGGCTAAAAGTGTCACTTTCAATGGATTCAACTACAGAAACGGAATGATACTTGCACATGGGTCTTTGGAAGGGATTCCAGAATTTACTGAGATCATCCACATGTTTATTCTGAAGGAGAGACTTTTTTTCATTGTTAAGAAACTGAGAGTGTGGCACTGGGAACACTTCAGGGCCTTCGAAGTTGAAGTGAGCCCTACCAATGACATAATACTTGTGGAATCGGATCAACTGACTGATCCATATCCCCTGGTAGCTTACACTGTGGGAGGAGTGCGTTTCATTACCCTGAAAAGATATATTCAAATTTAAGGTATGCATAATATTTTTCTCTTTTTTAACATTTAAGATCTGCATATTCATGAAATCATTCTATTTTAATGTAATTCATTCTACTTATCACTTTTCAAAATCTGCACTAAACTGACACTGTACTAACTTAAAGGTAGAGTATGCATGGTGGGCAGAATGGGTATTGCAACTATGCAGCCCATTGCAACTGTGCTGAATATTTCTAATGGGATATTTTCCAGAATATTTACTTAGTATTAACCTTGTATTTACTAGGTGACAAAAATGCCTACTTGAAATTTGAAATGAATACTTAGAATGGCATGGTGGTGGTAATTATTTGTGAAAAAGGTAACATTTGTGAATGGGCAGCATGTATTAAGGAAATTAACTTCTAAAAGAATTACATGACCTACCTCTAATGTGGCATGGATAAACCGTGTGACTAGACTGACCTTGAGGGGCTGACATACTGTGACAATGGACTAACAGACAGGGGCACTTGTACTGATATAAAAGGGGTGCATACGCATTGTTTTATATTAGACTAGGGGCACTGATGCACCTTACTTATTACAACTCAAAGCTTTCATCTCATCTGTATGTTGACACAAGGTGGTTGTGAATGTGAATTAATAATTTCTCTTTCCTTCTGTCTTTCGTTTTATTCTCCTGCCACCCAGGTTTTGACTCCAGCTTCCTGAACGTCACTGACTGTCAGGGCATCTACATCAACAACTTGAGATCCAACTTTGCAATATGGCCACTCCCGTCCGACTCCTCATCTTGTTGGGTGACGAAAGCGCTGAGAGGATGGAATTATCAAGGGTGCCGGACACAGTTGAAGAGCTCATTGAACAGGTCAAAAATGTATGCAAACTTTCTGGAGACATCAGGCTGCAGTACAAGGATGATGACTTTGGTGGAACATTTGTTAACTTGAGCGCAACGTCCATGATCAAAGACCTTACTACAATCAAGATCATACAAGCTGCTCCTGATATTGTTCTGAGTTTCATTGAAAGTGTCCCATCTGATCTGAGTGACTTAGACACAAGCCTTGCCTCACGAAACACTGATACAGATGACACCATCATACTCAGCCAGAGCTCTGACAGTGAGGGACTGAGAAAAGAGCCGTGGCCAAAGGAATTCATCATCCCGCCTTTCTCCCTCGAAACAGAAGGTCTACTTCAGAGAGGAAATGCAGAATATGCACAGAACCAAACAAGACTGACACCTTCATCAAAAATGCTGTCCGACATACTGGAAAGATTGGCAGAGAAGATTTTTTCCTACAAGGCTTACCCCACTGATGCAGACCTGAGTGATGTTGCAGAGGCTCTGACACGGAAACATCCCTGCTTGAGACAACCAGACTCCTTCAATGAGAGTTATGGATGGAAACTGAAGCTCAAGTGCAAGATGAGCAACTACCGCACTCAGCTGAGGTCAGATGGACTTTCGTCTGAGCTCATGGTGAACACACTGAAATCCAAATCACGAGAAGATGCTACTCCCTTCCCAGCAAAGAATGTGAAAAAGGCGAGAAGAGGGGAGACCAACTACTATCCTCAACCCAGCGGAGAAAGTCCAGAAAACCTTGAGAAAGAAAGAGCATCTCTTCTGACTGAAATAAAGATAAGAAACAATGAGAGAACCATATGGGAGAAGATGGCCAGGACTTTTCAGTTCAGGAGGCAAGAGATTGTGGATCAGAAGCCAACCATCGAGAACCTCATGGAAAGATGGCCAGCTTTATTTCAGATGGAAGAGGTACACTTTTTACAACTTTTTGTATACTTAAGCCCATACATGAGAAAATATTTTTTTTTTTCTTTATTTCACATTATTCTTAAATTTTAAGTGTATTTCACAATGTTTTCTTGTGTGCAGGTTGATGCAGAGTTTCTGCGGGTTACTGCAGTTCCCCTCCTGACCAGATTTATGGCGCACCTGGACAAGCACTCCCCGCAGCTGCTGAAGATCTTCAGAAAGAAAGGAGGGATCACTAAAGCAAAAACTGCCACGATCCTTGAGTTTCTTGACCAGGTATGATGTGCAGTATATAATTGGCCACTAACGACAGCCCTCAATCCTTCTACATGAAGAGGGTGTGCAGATGATGTGCAATTGATGTACATGGCATTGTTATTGTGTGCCAAGTTTTGCACCATATTCACTATCAACCATTTAAAAACAGAAAAACATGTGCCACCTGTGAGTACATTAATATGTAGTAGCACATAGAAAATAATTTGTGCACCTGTCACTGCACCAAATATACTTTGACACTATAGGAACCCAAACAGGAGCCATCCACTCTGTCTTCATATTTAAAGAGGGACTACCAGTGGCCTCTGGCAGATGTACTAGAATGGCTTTACATTTTCACTGCTTTCAATTAGTCTGCCATGGATTCAATATTGACCAGGCACACACTGTAAAAGCACTGTTTATGGTAGAGCTGGGAATTAAGTTGCTAGACTAATCTACACATCGCATAATAACCATTTTCATTGTCCCTAAAGGGTGCTGATGCAGATTTCAGAAGGGAGTGTATCCTCAAAGCTCTCATCATCTACCTGGGAGAACGTGGAATACATGGTATGTCCAGATATTTTCTGTCACAATGATGATTCAACTTTATTCCTCACGGGAGACCACCTATGCCATTAAATAGGGATGCACGATATAATCGGCCCCCTATCGGTATCGGCCTGTATTGGCCTTAAAACTGAATATCGGACATCGGCCCTCCCCACGGATATTTAACCCGATATTTGATCAGCTTCTGAGTTTATAAAGTCTAAAAAAAATAAAAAATAAATACTACTTCTTCTTCTTCCTCAAAAACTTCTTTTTTACAGACTTAAAAGCTTCTAAAGACGAGGGAAAAAATATTGATCCATTAAAATATCCCAATATCTTCATATTGCTGATATATTGCCATTTAAAAACACCATATCAATCTCTTTTACTAATGAAATATTGCTATATGTCATCGTTATGCTACGAAATCCCCCGAAAATTCACCAAATGTTACCATATTTTTATATGTTGATATATTGACGCGGTATCGATCTATTTTACTAACAAAATCTCACAAGAATTTGCAAAATATCACGAGAGTTTGTAACAGAACGATGAAGTTTCATGAGATTTTGAAAGTAAAATAGATCGATACCGCGTTTTTAAAAATCAATTTGATATCAGCATATGAAAATATATTTGAGTATATTATTTTTCAAAGTGTCAGAAATGGATAACAAAACTGCTATTTTCAATGACTACTTATTTTTGTCGAGCTTTAACATCGGTATCGATATCGGTTATCGGCAACATGACATTTAAAATATCGGATATCGGCCAAAATTCAAATATCGTACATCCCTACCATTAAACAGTATATAGTGATTAATGGGGTGTGCCAGACTGCAGTTGTTCAGTTGCATATTTCGTATATTTTGCCTCAGGTCTCCCAGAAAGATCAAGCCGAGCAGGAGCTGGAGAGGACCATCATGGCAGTCTTCGTCTTCAGAGAGAATTCAAGCCTTCTACAGCAGCCCGAAGACATTGGGATTGTCATTGATGGTGTGGAAGTCCTCAATGAGCTGCCTTCTGTTGCAGCCGGAGTGGCAATGCTCTTTGGACTTTGCTATGCTCTTAACATGAAGTATCCACAGGGTTTCGGGTTCACCTTTGAGGCCCTTCAGAAGATCCTGATGGAGCTTGGTTCCAACAAGATGACTTCCAAGATTCGCAAACTCAGTGGTGAACTCAAAACTGCACAATAGTGTATATTTGTGTGTGCTCAATGTGTGCATGTAGTTGCCACTGGCATCTATTTAAGAGGTAGACCACCTCACAGCACTTTGTTATACAGGCTCACGGGGTCACTTTCATGGAGTGCTTTTGTTGGAATTTTAGTTCTTTCATGATGTTTAGAGATGCAACATTCCTTCAAGTTCAGATGTGTTTAAACAGTTCAACAGTGGATGCTTTCTGTCCATTTAATTTTGCTTGATAAGCCATATTGTCTTTATTTCATTGCTGTAGAGCAACAATGACATGTTTATATTTTTGTCTGAACATGCAACTTTTTTTGGGTCCTTTTTTACTTGAGGAATAAATGGCTTAGAAAAAAACTAATGCTGTAGTGTGTTAAGTGTGATGTGAGTGGTGCAAATTGTTTATGAAACCAAGTTTATGAAATATGAAAGAAAAAAAAAGACTTACATGGTGCCAATGAATTAACTGGTGTTAATGCCTGAATATTAGTTTAGTGCAAGGTATACATATTTGATGGGTTCAATTTTAATATATTAATTTGGTTCCAAAACTAAAATGTAAATAATTTAACTTGGATAAAGGTGAAGAATTAATATTGGGTCAAGTAAAGTAATATGGTTGGAGTCAATATTAAATAGTCATGTTGTACCAAACCACTTTATTTAGATTCTGTGAAGTCAAATATATTAGATGCAACAAATGGACATCATTTTTTTTAATTTAAGCTGGGCCACACTTTTTCCAGTGTACCTTTTCAACCCTTGCCTGAAGTCCTTTATTGCATATATCTATTGTGAAAAACAACAACATCTCCCTGGACAGGACATTTCTCATTTTTACAATATTCAGGATTTTATTTACGTATTTTTCATGATTAGAATTCGGTTGCCCCTAATATTTTTTTTTGTGTGATGTAAGAATGAATTACTGTTAACATATCTTGGATGTACTAAAGAAATTAAATCCCATGTAATAGAATCCAATATCTAGATATTAGATGTTATGTGTTGCAGAGGTATAAACCTGTTCTTGCATTCTGGCAGCAATTTTAAGAGATTCCAAAGAGCCTCTACTTCTTTCTGAGCCACATCAAAAAGACAAAGGACCTAATTACAACGGGTCCGAGTCAGACTCCGTTGTTGACCCCTCTGGTACCAACTGTAAGTGTATAATAGCTTCAATCAGCTGCTGTATGTCAGCCGGCTAAGTTCTCAGTTCCATCTTCGGTGTTTTTCTCGTACTAATCATGTACTCCAAACTGTGATCAACTAAACATTGTGTGTTTTGATTGGACTGTATTTGCAGAATAAAAGCATTTTGATTGGCTGTCCTCCTGACATTGTCAGGCACCATAAGGCACTTAAACCAGTCTTCCTTGCTCACGTGCATAAAGATGTAGTCATTATTGTAAAACATGAAGGATAGAAGCAACACACAGACTTTGTGTTTTTGTCTTCCTCATATAATCAACACTCTCAGGGTTGCTGTAGCGTTGCTACTAATAAAATTTTATTGGACATTTTATAACTGTGTAAAATATGCATGTCTATGCGTATAAAACTGGCATTTCCTTTTCTTCTGAGTTTGGTTTTTGAGAATATGGATGTAGTGACTGGGATTTATCTGATCAACAAACATTTTTAAGTCCAGTCATTAATCATAAGATCAGCTGTAAACATGATGGAAAATTATAAAACTAGAAATATTAAAATGAGATGATAGACAATGTAAACTTAGGGGTTTTCTTGTTGTATATCAGGGCAATATGGAATCCTCAGCCGTGGAGATACGGTTCAAGTCGTGTCATTCTGTGTTTTTTCCAGGATCTGTTTTCATCCCTTGGATGTTTATGGCTTCATATCTCTTCTACAGCAGCTGTCATGAGTCCTGTTGTCTCGCAGTGACTTCCAGATCGTATATATATGCTGTAATGTATCCCTGACATTCACTGAAAAATGTATCCAGGTTCTGTTGTTGCAGGAAAGCCTTGTATTGATGATGCATCAAGAGCAGCTGGAATGATGGTGGCATGGCATAACTGTTATACTAACCAGAGGAGGCTGAAGTATAAAATCGATTAGAGGTTTAACAGATTTATAATCAATCATTCTTATTGTCTATATCATTCAATTCATTACTGATCAGTGGTGGGCTGTGAGGGCCTTCAACGCCCTTACTGCTGGCTTAAAATCAATCCCAAACAATAACCTATTATCAAACCTTAACTTTAATTTTATTATTTCCAACTGTATTCATTTATTCCAAACAATCTGTTCTCCTAATTTCGTAGCGTTTCTCTTGGCTGCGCTGCTTCCATTACATTTATGTGGTTGCTATATTTTTTTGTCCAATCAGATTTCAGCCTCTGTGTGTTGCTATGTCAATCAAATCTGCCCAGGGCCTTCAGAATCGTCGCTACTGATGTTCCTTAACAATATTAGACAGGAACGTTTTCTTCAACCAATCAGATTTTAGGATTGTCCTAGAGGGCCAGCTAGAGGGTCCACCCCTACGACAGCATTCTCTGTCCTCTGATTGGCTGCTTCTTCCAAGGAGGCGGTCTACCTGGACTGGATCCTTTGAAGTCCTTAAAAATAAGGAGACTGGAAGAGTTTTGGCTGTGAATCCAAACAGGTCTACCCTTCGGCGACTTTTACCGCCGTAGGCCTTGTCGCTTAGCAGCTGTGAGGGTTGACACAGAAAGCAGGAAAAGAATGAATACCCAACTTTTCAAAACTGTTTATTTTTATTTATTTTTATTGTAAAGTGAACAAAGACTACACATGAGAATCCAGAGTGGAATAAAGGTTCCAACCACTGGGAGCATAAATAAATCAAATCAAATGTAATGATAGAAACCTTAGTCAGTTAAATAACCTGCTGCTGTCATTCTGCACATCTCTGATGTTGCTGCTATTTTCAAATATCCATTACTGTAAAAATGTCCATAGCTGCATATTGGTTATTTATTCTCTGGGATCAAAGTTTTATAATCCTATCAGATTTATAGTCCCCACCTTGCAGATATATTAGAATCTGTCCTTAAATTCCAGCCAAACCCATTTACACAGTAACAGATAAAAACCTTTAGATAAACCAAACATTACCGCCACATATCTGACTCAATAACCATTAAAACAACTATTTTCATTCATTTCAGACAGAACTATTCACGGACTTGGATTATAATAAACTAAAGTTCCAATATTCATCATTGTTTGGCGGCAAATATCATTTCCTCTGATCACGGAGCAGCCGGCTTGATTGGTCTCACAATGAATCCTCGGATATCCAAGAATAGTGAGGATACCTCGGACCCGTCCTTCAAATCGGGCAAAAAGGACGCATTCCTAGGCCGCATAACGAGGAGTCTTGGAATCTGAACAGACTCAGGCGCCGTGCTATGTTGTAATCGTCCTTCGAATCTGGATTTCTGAGGACGCATCCCATAAATTCGAACAGAGCATAAGACTTTGTGCACAAAGACAGAAGGATGGATTCAGTTTATAAATATTCAGCTTCTCTGGTGAATGTGATAGACTTTATTTACATGCTTTATGCTCTATTTTATTTGGTACTTAGATGCATATTGAGTCGAAACGTCTCCTGAAGATGTAAACACGGCAGACCTGTGGTTATAGAGTAGAGAATTGCTGTTGTCTTAATTGGGCTTCTTGCTATCTGACCTCTGTATTCACCCTCACACTGATCTTCCCCTCGGTTATAACTGCACTTTTTACATTTCATATACACTATATTGCCAAAAGTATTTGCTCACCCATCCAAATTATTGGAATCAGGTGTTCCAATCACTTCCATGGCCACAGGTGTATAAATTCAAGCACCTAGGCATGCAGACTGTTTTTACAAACATTTGTGAAAGAATGGGTCGCTCTCAGGAGCTCAGTGAATTCCAGCGTGGAACTGTGATAGGATGCCACCTGTGCAACAAATCCAGTCGTGAAATTTCCTCGCTCCTAAATATTCCACAGTCAACTGTCAGCTGTATTATAAGAAAATGGAAGTGTTTGGGAACGACAGCAACTCAGCCACGAAGTGGTAGGCCACGTAAACTGACGGAGCGGGGTCAGCGGATGCTGACGCGCATAGTGCGAAGAGGTCGCCAACTTTCTGCAGAGTCAATCACTACAGACCTCCAAACTTCATGTGGCCTTCAGATTAGCTCAAGAACAGTGCGCAGAGAGCTTCATGGAATGGGTTTCCATGGTCGAGCAGCTGCATCCAAGCCATACATCACCAAGTGCAATGCAAAGCGTCGGATGCGGTGGTGTAAAGCACGCCGCCACTGGACTCTAGAGCAGTGGAGACGCGTTCTCTGGAGTGACGAATCGCGCTTCTCCATCTGGCAATCTGATGGACGGGTCTTGGTTTGGCGGTTGCCAGGAGAACGGTACTTGTCTGACTGCATTGTGCCAAGTGTAAAGTTTGGTGAAGGGGGGATTATGGTGTGGGGTTGTTTTTCAGGAGCTGGGCTTGGCCCCTTAGTTCCAGTGAAAGGAACTCTGAATGCTTCAGCATACCAAGACATTTTGGACAATTCCATGCTCCCAACTTTGTGGGAACAGTTTGGAGCTGGCCCCTTCCTCTTCCAACATGACTGTGCACCAGTGCACAAAGCAAGGTCCATAAAGACATGGATGACAGAGTCTGGTGTGGATGAACTTGACTGGCCTGCACAGAGTCCTGACCTCAACCCGATAGAACACCTTTGGGATGAATTAGAGCGGAGACTGAGAGCCAGGCCTTCTCGTCCAACATCAGTGTGCGACCTCACAAATGCGCTTCTGGAAGAATGGTCAAAAATTCCCATAAACACACTCCTAAACCTTGTGGACAGCCTTCCCAGAAGAGTTGAAGCTGTTCTAGCTGCAAAGGGTGGACCGACGTCATATTGAACCCTATGGATTAGGAACGGGATGTCACTTAAGCTCATATGTGAGTCAAGGCAGGTGAGCAATACTTTTGGCAATATAGTGTATGTATG